TATACATATATTCTTGTTTATGTTGATGATATCATACTCACAAGTGCTTCTTCATGTGTCGTTAATGCTGTGATACAAGCGTTGAATCAGGAGTTTCCTTGAAGGATCTAGGAGAATTATCCTACTTCTTGGGCATTGAAGTCAAACGTAGCAAGGAGTCCTTGGTGCTGTCTCAAAAGAAATACATACTCGAACTGTTGGAAAGGACAGATTATTGCATGCCACTCCCACTGCCACTCCAATGGTAGGATCTCCAAAGTTGACTCTGGAGGCTGGAGAGCTGTTAACAAATACACGTGAATATCGAGCATCGTTGGTGCTTTACTGTATGCGTGTCATACGAGACCCGATATTGCATTTAGTGTCAACAAGGCTGCTCAGTATATGCATGCTCCACGAGAGTTGCATTTGACTGCAGTGAAGAGGATACGATACCTAGCTGGAACGTTAAACTATGGTCTCACTTTTTCGAGTGCTGGCAAGTCACTTGAAGTTATGGCATTTGCTGATGCTGATTGGGGAGGCAGCCTGATGACAGGAGGTCGGTGTCTGGCCATGTAGTGTTCTTGGTGCATGTCCTGTAGTTTGGTGTTCAAGGAAACAGAAAACGGTTTCCAGGTCTACAATGGAGGCTAAATATCGAAGCGTTGCTGAGGCTGGAGCTGAAGTTACATGGATGAAGTCATTGTTAGGAGAGCTTGGCATAGAAACTCGCAATACACCTGTCATTTGGTGTGATAATACAAGTGCTGTTGCGTTAAGCACGAATCCAGTGTATCATGCTCAGTCAAAAAACATGTACAAAGTCGTGACAAAGGGAGCATTTGAAGTGTTTCGAGATCATTTGCGTGTTCTGCCTTTTCAATAAAGAAAGAGGAGTCGAAGGAGCGGGGAGAATGTTAGAATGATAGAGTGTGGTGTATGTGCGTGAGAGTTTGTGTGATAGTTAGTTTCAGTTAGTTACAGACTGTTAGAATGTTGTTAGGAAAGTTAGGTGCAGGCTGTTAAAACTGCACAGCAGTTACAGCCAGCTCAGCGATATGATTGTGTATATAACAGCAACATAGCTTTGTAAATGAAAATAACACGTTTTCTGTATGAATTACATTACATCTGTTTTCAATATGGTGATAATTGACCAACTTTTTCCATATATTTCCCGCGTAGCTTACGAATGGAATACCTGTTTCACAATGGATGCTTTATGGAGGTAACTAGTTGTTTTTGCCCTATAGATGTTCGTTAAAGCTTTACATATAAGCTATGTTACTAGGACTCGGGTCAGTTTTGGATACAGGTATGTGTATGATGTGGGTATGCTCGGTTTTCTCTAAGGTTTTTTCGGTGTAGTTTGAGAATCATACCCTCCCATATCCATGTTTAACTGTGTTCTGGATACTAGTTTTGGACACTGGTACTTTACGATTAGTAGTTGGAGAAACATAGCTTATAAGAAATGTAGTGCTGCCCTAATATATGTTATGGTTTTTTTTTATGGAAAACTGTCTGAATGACATACGATATTGCTTTACTATTTTGCATGATGAATGCCCTGTGTTTTATGGAGTTAAGATATACACATCAATGATTGCTTCACGCTCGATTTTGTTTTATGTTTTCTCAGGTCAGAAGCTGATTGGAAAGTCTCGATTTCCTTGTGCACACTCGTAGTTTTTTCTCCTTTTCACACATTCTTTCTCATTAGAATCTATGTAATTCTTCATAACACGAACTGCCGTGGTTGACCCTTTTTAAAATCACAGGCTCGAGCGATTGGTTTGGTGGGCTATGTCCTGACAACATCTTTCTTAATTAGAGAAAACATACTGGGTTTGGTAATTCCGAGTTCGATATTCCTTTGGTATTTCTTGTCTTTGTGCTCGAGTGTCGGGAACCAACTTGCATGGTTCTTCAAAATGCTTGCAGATCACCATAAACATTCATGCATCTCTCTCGTACATCTTTGCCGCGATCGGCATCAATTTGATTCTGTCGATGAACTTCATAAATTCCTTGTTCGGGACTTTGGTACGTTCGACCCGCCTTTATGCTGCCTTATTTTGGTTTTCGGGTGCTTGCTCTTGCATTGAACCATTATTATCATGCTAATCCAACAAGTTCTGCTCAATAGTGCGCCCTCTGTGTTCTTTCTGCACCTCTTGTATTCAGTGTTCCTTACCAGAATGGGAATTAAGACTTCATTGAGATTGCCAAGATGGTTGGAGAAAGCTATATAATGTTCCTTACCAGAATACGATTCTTAAATATATAGAAAGTACTTATTGAGCATCTACGTAATTAACTTTTGATAGTTATGGTCTTCATATTTGTAATTGTAACTTATAGTTTTATCTTCATTATAAATTGGTTCCTAAATTTTTGAATATTCTAATTTTATCCTCAAACTATGATACTAATTCAAAATTAGTCTTTAAACCATGACCCTTATTTTAAATTAATCCATAAACTTCTAAACCTTCTAATTTCATACTCAAATTCATCCAAATATGAAATTAATTCTAACCATAATTTAACCTAAACTTTATTTTTTCCTAACATATAATAATATAATTTAGCCTAACGATTTTATTAACGTGAGATGTGATTATTATATGCATATAATTTCGGATGAAACTGAAATGTTGCAAATGTTGGGGGGACCAATTTAGAATGAATGATATAGTTTGGGGATGAAACTAAAATGTTCAAAAGTTTGAGGATTAATTTAGAACGATAGTCATGGTTTAAGGATAAAATTGGAACAAATAGAAGCTTAGGGATCAATTTAGAACAAGAACAATAGTTTGAGGATGTATGATGCAATTAACTCTTTTTTAATGTAGTTTGATTTTTTTTTTAAAAAGTTAAATATACATTTTGGTGCCTGAACTTGGATTTTTTATTCAATTTGGAACCTAAACTTTTTTGTTCAATTAAATGCTTAAAATTAAATTCTTATTATTAATTTTTATTGAAACGTTATAAAATAATTATTAGATTTAATCGATTTTATATTGTTATAATGATTATTTAGTAATTTTAAAATTTAATAGTTATTTTATAAATTTTAAAAATTTAGTTATTAAATTAATTATTTAAACATAATTTAATGGGTTCTAATATATTTTATCTTGGCATTGTTAATTATTAAGCAGCTTTGGAAATATGTGTGTAAAACGTGTTCAAATGCTAACCAAGTCTTCAACTAAACCGACCGGCCCCTTCCTCATATTTCGTCCACGCGTCTTTTAATTTTGTTTTATTGATATTCTCTAAAAAAACCATTTATATAAAAAGCATGAACATAATATAAATATGCACATACATTATACTATATTCGACCTTGCTGAAATATTATATAAATACTTGTAAAGTGAATAAAATTTGCATTATATAAATTATAATATCCCGTTAATAATTAAACACATATATAAATTATTATCTTAATGTCGATCATTAATTAATAAATAGTTTTTTTATTAAGATATTTTAATCAATAATTAAAATATTAGAAATTATAATACTCTAAATTAATATATTATTTGTATAAACGTTGAAAGGTAATTTTATAATTGTGTCAAAATTATTTAGGGTAAAACCGTAAAAGAGTAATGGCATATATTATTTAAGAAAAATACAAGAAATTAAAGACGGGGAAAACTATGCATTTATAATCTAAATTATCAGTTTTATCTGTTTTAGTATTTAAATTTTAATTTTTTTTGCATTTTAGTACTTCGACTCGGTTTAAAAATTTAACGGATAGGCTGACGGGACATAGTTTCGGTGGACGGACGATCAATCCGAACGGTAGATCATGAGAGAATGATGAGTCGAATAACATAGTCCAATTTCAGGCCCATCAGACGGTTGACAACGGAGATCGAAGGATGAAGAAGTCGAAAAGTCAATCGTCAAATGGGGAGATTAAGATTTTTCCAGTGAAATAGAGGTCGGAATCACGTTCAGAGGGTCAAAAAGCTGTGGGCTAGAAAGTTTGAGTTTCATCAATCAACGGATGCGATGGTCGATTACTATAGATGTGGCGGCCGACGAGCTCGTCCGTCAAGTTTTGAATTACGGGTATTAAAATGAAACAAAAACTAATTGAAATTTTATATATTAAAATATATCAAAATTGATAATTTAGATACTAAAATGAAACAAAAACTAATTGAAATTTTATATATTAAAATATATTAAAATATAATTTAGATACTAACAAGTAATTTACCCTTAGGGGGTGTTTGGTTCAAGGATTGTGGGATTCCCCTGGGATGGGAATCCCACATTCTCATGTTTGGTTGGCTGGGAATCTCATTTCCGGTAATATTTTATTACCAATAGTAGATTCTTTGGGGTATATTACCGGAAATGTCATTACCTCCATTCCCTTAGGTATTATAACATTACCGGCGTTTTGGACTAAAATTCTCTTAAATTTTTATTTTTTTTCAAAAATATCATTCTTCTGTCATTGAATAATAAAAATTCTACGAATGTTAAATTACAAATTTATCCTTAAATTATTTTAGATTTACAAAAAAAAATCTATAATTAAAATTTTATATGAAGCTCAGGGGTTAAAAAAAATTTACCCTTTAATTAAACATTTTTTATATTTTTAATTTTGTAAAAAAATTATATAAATATTATGAATTTAATTTTTTAAAGAATATATATAAATATTTTAAAAATTTTAATATTATACAAATATATAATAAGTACAATTTGGTCAAGTATACATTACAATAATCTTTTATTCCTTTAACCAAATACGATAATCTTACATTCTTGCTAAACAAACCAAACACAAAATACAACATTCCCAGTAATTCTATTCTCTGATAATCTTTTATTCCCACTGGTAATCTTACATTCCGTAAACCAAACGATTCCGACATCTACTCTATTACTCTGTTTTTACTTTTTACACTTCTTCTACGCTGTTTCCTTTGTTTAAAACGCGGGAGAGAGAGAAAAACTCGGCTACCTTATTATATTCCTTACGTGATCTTATTCGATTTACGTGATCTTATTCTATTCCTTTGCAAATCTAATTCCCAAGCTCTGATCTTTGCTCCAATCAGGTATACATGAACAAACTTTGATTATTTCCCTCCCTCTCTCTCTCTGCTTGCTTTTAAGTCTCAGATCTGCTAAAATTTTGAAGTTTGTGGTCTTTTTGTTCATTGTTTTACACTTCAATCCACTTGTTCACGATTTATACTAATCCATCTCTTTGAATCTCACTCTTTTTATTTCTTAAAGCTTCAGTTAGTGTAAAGCTAAAAGTTTTTGTTGACTCCAGAGTTAATGGAATATTTTTAACTATTTCCCCCTCAAAATTTAATCTTTTTAATGAAAAAATAAGCACGGAGTTCTCTTTGTACTGATTATATTGGATTTCCTTGATGATTTTTTTTTATGATTTCCTATCGTGAAGCATTTTTATCAATACTCTATTTCTTGGATTATTGATTTTTGATAAAATTTCTGTCAAGCTTTAGCAGTTTCTTGTGATTAGGAAGAATGGGATATATAGGGGCACATGGTGTAGCAGCTTTGAAAAGATACAAATACAGTGGTGTGGATCACTCTTACCTTGCTAAATACGTTTTGCAACCCTTTTGGAGCCGCTTTGTCAACTTATTCCCTCTTTGGATGCCGTAAGTTCATCATTTTTTTTGTTTATTTTTAAATGCTTTGAATAACCATAGTTCTATTTGCTGCTTCATTTTGTTAGCTTCTTAAATCTCAAGTATAGATATTGTTTTAAAGAAGTGGTTCCTATCTACACCTTTATCAACGATACTACTTGTATATGTAGTGGATTTTGCTATTTGATATAAAAGGGCATGAAATTGTCAATGTGGAAGTCTAAGTTTTAAAAACTATATCATGCTTCAATTGAGCTCAAGTATTTGCTGGCTCTAACGTATTTATGTTTCTGTATGTGTTCACTACTGGCTTGGTGTTTTCTCCAGACCGAATATGGTATGTTACTATTACAAGTTACGACTTCTAAATTGTGATTTCATTGAACATGCAAACTTACACATGTATATGCGGATGGGTTGCATATGCATGTATTAGCTGTTTTGTTTGATTACTAAATTGTTATGTTTTTGTTTCTTAAGATAACACTCATGGGATTTATGTTCTTGGTTACATCAGCAGTGCTTGGCTATGTAAGTGGGAACTCTCTCTCTCTCTCTCTCTCTCCCCACCCCTATCTGTCCGTCTCTACATATTTTCTTCAATGTTATGTTGATTTTGGTACCCGAGTGTACACGTTTTCACTTGAGATGATGTTTTTTCTTGTTAGTTTTATTTTATAGCAATTTTCTGCAAATTCTCTTTCGTTAAAACTCTGCATCAATTTGAAACAACTCTTTGTAAATCTTTGGTTCCAATTTTTGTTAATCAATGAATATCTTCTAACTTTCAGATTTAAGGCGACGAATTTGTGGTCTATCTATTGTAGTTTGAATTCTAGTCATTTCCTTCATGTGTGGTTGGATTGGATTTGGATGTATGTTTATTTATAACGATTGACACTGAACTTCATTTAAGGAATCATGGTGGTTTTTTCCCCATCGGGACATTAGGAACCAGTGTAACAAATTAGTGAGAAAAAGAATTTTAAGCTATGGTGATTAGAAATGGTACTGTATGTAAAACAATGAGAAAGGTATTGATCGGACTTGATTATAGTGATTTAACCTGCTAGAACCATAATTTTCTTTTATTTTCGCATGCACTTGCAATTTAATATAGTAATAAATTTAATTTCTTCCGAGGGCAATTTTTGTGTTTGATACACTACGGCACTACCGTTGTTGCCTTGACTGTCTGCTGACACATGTTTTTGCTATTATCTTTATATTCAGTTTATTTATTTATATCGTTGTTTCAGGTTTATTCCCCTCAGTTGGATTCACCACCACCAAGATGGGTTCATTTTGCACATGGGTTATTTCTATTTCTATATCAGGTTTATACCTCCTTGCCGGGAATGTATCCAAGTTCTTCTTCATCTTGTTCCCTTGGTGTGTTATGTTGCACTTTTATTTTTAGTATTGTTCTTTTTGACATATCAGTAATTACCTGCTAGACTTTTGACTCTGTCGATGGGAAGCAAGCCAGAAGAACAAACTCCTCTAGTCCACTTGGAGAACTTTTTGACCATGGTAATTTCATGTTTTCATGTCTTTGCTCCATCCTTCGCTATTTTCATAAGAACATTTTCTGACCAAATAATTATTTTTGGTTGCCCTGAAACATTACAGGGTGTGATGCGCTTGCATGTGCGGTATGTATTTAACTTGTTGCATTACATAACAATGGCTATTAAAGTTCCTCATCATATAAGATTGATTCTTTTCACAGTTTGAAACCATTGATTCTTTTCACAGTTTGAAACCATGGCTTTTGGGAGCACTGCCATGTGTGGAGGGGACAGTTTCTGGTTCTGGGTAATTTCAGCTGTTCCGTTTTATGGAGCTACATGGGAACAGTAAGTAATTTGAAGTGTCTCCCTCCCTCCCTTCTGTTGGAAACCGTACCTTTTGCTATCTTCAATTACTTGGTTTATACCAAAAGGCCTTGCAAACTTGTTTAATTGCTCCTTTGTCTTGCGATAATTTCATGTTGTATTTGTGGTATTTTAAGCATGTTGTTTGAGATGTATTCCTCTTGGTGTATCCATCCGTGATGCATTAAATTTAAGAAGGGAATTATGGTTTCTAATTTTTTTTTGCATATAGTTGAAGGTTTAGCAGTGTTGATACTTCTGTTGTTTTTCTTTTGTATTTTCAGCTATTTCACCAATACGCTGGTCCTTCTCGTAGTTAATGGGCCAACCGAGGGCCTTGCTCTGATATATGTAATGCACTTTTTGACAGGATTTTTGGGTATGTTTCTTCACTTGGTGTATTACTTGTGCCTTTAAATGTGTACTTTGAAAACTTTGTTTTACATGGTTGTCATGCTTTCACATTTTGAAGTTTTATTGTATAGTTTTTCCTCTATGTTCTTTTTCTTTCTCCTTTACTTCTCTAATCGCAGCATCGTTTTTTCCCCTGCAAGGTGCCCAGTGGTGGGCTCAGCAATTTGGACAATCCATACCCATCTTCAGTTGGGTACCTTTACTTAATAGTAAGTTATATTTTTATTATTTGTTCTTCAAAATCGAACAATTATTAGCTACTGCATTTATCAGTCGACACAGCACAAATACTGTAAAAGAAATATATGGTATATCTTTGTGATATTTTATTAGTCATTGCATGAATGAGTTTAGGGTGGATTCACTAGATTCTGTGATGAGACTTTTTCAACTTTTTCAATATATGATAGCCACCATATGCTGTTGATTATGTGCTACTTCAACTTGATGTTTCTGCTATCTCGGCTGTGTTCCTATTCTACAATCTTAAGCTATCATTTTTCTTGATCTTAAGCTCTTTGATGTATCTGGTGTTTCCATGTATTCCTTTAGATTGCCAAAACTTAGTTGCAAATGGTGGATTGCATTATAAGATAATTATCTACCAAGTAATAACAGCTTTATCTGTATATGCGTCTGATATTTGATTGGTTAATTTTATATTATCATTATTGTTTCAAAAGAAATTCTAGTAAAGCTCGGCTTATTATTCTTGCACTATTGTAATTTCTATTATCTTTTTTTAGGCGCAACATGGCTTTATATATACACACACACACATATATATATATCATTTGCTTGTTTGTTGTTTGATTGTTTCTGCCATTATTTTCTTCAACTTCTATCATTTTCTTATTTATTTATTTATTTTCTTTTTTGGGTTTAGAAATTCCAACATACAGAGCTGTGCTGTATTTTATGATAGCATTTGCTGTTATACCTACTGTTTGTTGCAAGTAAGTGGCTATCTGTAACCTAACACTTCCAATTTAATTCAGAGTTTCATGGTGAAGCTTCTCATGTTTTCTTTTCGGCATTCTCATAGCCTTACAGTAGAGATGTGAATTGTCAGTCTTAGTTGCTTTGATATTTTGCAGAACATTTTCTCTTTTTTTAGCCAGTTTTAGACTTATGTCATAGCTTCTCATGCTTTCATTTTGGCATTATAGCCTTACACTAGAGCTTTTGATTATGAGGATAGTTACATGATCTAATCACAGTGTCATCATCAATGACCCTTCTCTTTTTCTTTCATCTCATAGTTTTGAAATCTTAATAATTTATGATTGCTAGGAGATTTTAGCTTCCCAAGCCTATATGAAATACAGATGCCAAGGTTTCCATGCATGACACCATCTCATTCCAGTCTTCTTTATATTATTGATGCTAGGTCTCTTTGGTTAATGCCAGCAAAAGCTTCTCTCATGTCTTTGCATGTTTTCTTCTGCAGTATACAGAACGTCCATAAGGTCGTTCAGGCACGAAAAGGAAGCATGTTGTTGGCATTAGCAATGGTAATTGTGTTATATATTACTTGCTTCTTCCTTCCTTCCTTGTATGCTAATTTCTTAAATGATGCTTTCTTGTTCTTTCTTGGCAGCTTTATCCATTTGTCATACTCATGGGAGGAGTGCTTGTTTGGTAAATTGAACCTCTCCATTTTTTAATGTAGCGATTATTTCTTTTTGGCCTTACATGGAACTTTATTCCTTTTTCTTTCAATGTGAAGGGATTATCTATCACCCTCAGATATTATGGGAAACTACCCACACTTAGTTATACTAGGAACTGGACTTGCATTTGGGTTCCTTGTGGTAAGTTTTACTATGTTGTTTACTGGGATCTTATAACACATATCAATTCATAGTTTGTTAATCTGGGGGCTTAATTCCCTATTACACACCCTTTATAAGTTTTAAAGTTTGAACGGTTTCAGATCTTCCTTTTCCATGAAGAAGCATTTATGCTCGTCTGTAAAGTTTTATTTAAATGACCTCTGTTTGTATCTTTTTATCTATGTATCTTCGTATTTCTTGTTTTCTTCTTCTTCTTTTTTTCGTTTCCAAACTTCTATATTTCCTAGTACAGCTAAGGTAGGAAGAAAAATTCCTATTGAAATGGTTAATGAAGGGTTTTTTTTTGCTTTTTTGGCAGGGACGGATGATTTTGGCTCACTTGTGTGATGAACCCAAGGGACTAAAGACGAACATGTGCATGGTATGTAGCATTCTTATTCAAATCAGCATATTAAATAAAAGTTCCACCTAAACTTCGTCACTAAAATGCTCAACTCTTCTATGTTTCGTTTGCAGTCACTCTTGTACCTTCCATTGGCCATTGCAAATGCTCTTACAGCTAGGCTGAATGATGGGTATGTGTGTTAGATTTTGCTTTCTGTCCATATGTTTCTCCGACTTTTCATTTTTCTTGAAGTACCCATGTTTGACACATACTTGGACATGGGTAATTGGGCATGATCCTTCAAGGATCCTCCAAGTGGATGGAATTCATGGAAAAAAGAAACTTGAATATAACCGTGTCGAGCACATACTTACACACGCGAGTCTGAGTATCATAGTTCTAACCTGATATATTGCTTGCCTTATCTGTTGTTGAACACGAATGCTAATTGACGTTTACCTTTTTCCCTTCAGTGTTCCTTTAGTTGATGATTTCTGGGTTCTTCTCGGTTATTGCGTATTCACAGGTACAATGCTGCTTTCTTAGTTACTGTTGGTGGTTCTTGTATGATGTTATATTTTGTCTGATATTTCTCTTTTCATCAAATAGGATCGCTCTACTTGCACTTTGCCACATCGGTTATTCATGAAATTACGACAGCTTTGGGAATTTATTGCTTCAGGTGAGGAGGTTTTTTTGCCAATCAATGTTACTTTAGGAAGGTTCCTAAATTGTTGGGAACATTGTTCCCTTGCTTTATTGTGTTTTGGGTCCAGTTTTGCAGAGTTTCAGTTACTGGGATTCATCATATATCTACCGATATGTTTGTTGCTCTGCTTGATCTGTGTTTTTACCTTTTACATTGTAATTTACCCATAACTTTGTTCTTTGTATTTCTTTTGGCTCAGTAGACAAGTTTAACTTCTAGGACTCTTCTGTTTATTAGGTAGTTTTTAGAATATCAGATTTCTCTTCAGATTACCATTTGTAGATCCATGTTTCTAATCATCATTCCTTGCTTAAAATCACAGGATAACTAGAAAAGAGGCTTGAATATCGACGATTGTGATCCAGAGTATGTTTCTTCTCTTGTCGTTTCCGAACTGTGATTGTCAAGACTTGAGACTGCTACAACGTTTTTAACATATTACAAACTGTTGTTCAAGTTAGATTACACATTCCGACTTGTTTTTCACAATTACGGGTGCATGCATTGCAGGGTTTCCTCGATGCGGAACCAGTTTACAACTTGTGTTCTGGTGGAGCGCAGAAGCCGAAGTGATTCAGTATTTTGTATTGATGAGTGTTGCAGCTCATCAACATTGTTATATAAATGTTTTGTTAAAAACAGGAAAGGGAAGTTTATGTATGTGAGCATTTTCATCCATGACTTGAGATTTATGAATGGTTCCTTTTAGTAGAATCAACGTTTTTGAAGCCATGACTTTTATCCAATATTTAGTGTGGGAGTGGCAGTTCATTAAGACATGCCATGACTCGATGGATGAAGTCAGTCGTCAAGCTAACTCAGCATTGCTTTATGAATCCATTCACGCAAACCTCCTCCCTCTATTGATGAGCAGACCATCACGTAAACACAATGGCAAGCCCTCAGCCTCATACAGCATGCTTCCACTTCCAGACCTCACACACCAACTGGTTCTCCGTGGCCTAACCATCACCATCCTAGTCCCCCGGCTTCATCATATGTAGGTCACAGTCGTTTTTACACACTTGGACCACTAGATTAATGGAATCACTTTGGACAATTACCCGGAATTCATTTGTCAAGTGAATACATATTGCAAGAGCTTGTGCCCCAAGGGAGTCCGAGCAGCAGATGCAACCTGCAATGCACCACCATCAGCAAGGATTTGTCGACCAGGGAGGAGTCGCCCATCATGCACAAAAAGATTTCAAGACCACAACACCACCAACAGGCCGATAAAGGTCAAGCACAGTCATCATCGTCTCAAGCCAAGCTCTGCAGGAAGCTTAAGTATTTAAATATAATCTTTGTATATACAATGCTAACGTTTCTCATTTGATCCCATCTGTATACGTGTTCGGTATACGTGTTCATATTTTTAATACTAAAGCACCTTTTTCGTGTACCTTTGAATCTTATTTTCTTTTTCGTTTGAGATTTTGGTTTCTGTAAAGCTCAAATGCTAGGCTGAATGTTATAGTGGATATGGCAATGCAAACTACCTATAAAAATTTCACCCTTGTTTTTTCAGAAACTGGGGGAATGTTCAACAAACGTCCATGGAGGAATCACTTTCACCAAAACAGACTACGACGGAGTCTTGTACCTAATACATACAAAAAATAACACCTTTCATTCTATGTCATCCGAAATGGCTGACTTTATTATTTGAAATGAATTCAACATCTCTCATCTCTTCCAGCATCTCTTCCAGTTGTGCCTGACTTTAATATTTGAAATGAATTCAACAACAGTCCACTCTGTATTTGAACTTCTTAGGACCGTAAATTAAAGAATGACCCTTTTTCAACCGAAATCGAACTTCGCTGATTCACAGTGGGTCACAGCATTCTGTTGTTATGCTGGCTGGATGAAGACAGTGCTTTAAGTTTAACAACCCTCTCATCATGGTCAGAAAAGATAACATTACTCCAATTTGTTGGTCTCTGGATAATTCTCGAAGGAACTCGATCGCTATCTTCCCCACCAGACGCTTCATATCCGTCACTAGCAGACCTAGATAATGGGAATCCCTTCTGAGCAGCCATATTGAAAGCAGGTAAACCTCTCAGCTGTCTTGCTTCTTCAGCTCCAGATGAGGATACCCGAAATGGATGAATGTCTGGAGAATCTAAACTGCTCTCAGGAGAAGAGGCAACCATCCCAACAGAGCTCGACATTGCTCGGCTTGTTTGGAAAGCATTCCGAGCTTCCAGTTGAAGTGGTGCCAAACTACTTGATGTATCTTTGAAGCCTTTATCAGCAGGTTGAGCCAGAATGTTCATAACGGGCTCCATGGGTAGATCAGCGGGGAGACGCACCCGCTTAGATGCTCGTTTTCTGTTGCCATCAGGCCTCGAGAACATTTGACGGCCGCTGCTGCCAAAGCTACTGTCCGCTTCTATCCCAAATGGGGCTTCACGTCTCGCCACAGGCTGCAGGATTTTGGACTTTTTCCTTGCTTCAGCAGCGGCTTTTGAAACATCTTCTGCATTTAACCGTGCCAATGTCCATGGACTGATCTTCACTGCTGCAGCGTTCTTCTTCTTAATTGGCTCCTCCCCAACCATTTTTTTCCCATACGAACTCACAGACCCAGTATCAGGAGGAACAACATCAAACTAGAACCAATTACAGAAACAGATCTCAGCTCCAGTGGTTCAGCAAAAAGCGCTATAATTGCATAATGAACAATGTCATTAATTTGTAAAAATTACCTGATCTTCAAGGAACAAGCGTGGGGGTGTACACCATGCACCCCGGTGAAAAGTAGAAAACGAACTAGCACTGCTTAATCCAGTAAGTGAGCTGGCAGGGGACATCTGTGGACTCTGCTGACCACCGACACCTTGTTGCTCTTGTTCTTGCTCCCGAAGAGCTATTATGTAATCATATGTGCTGATTCCCTGAGGCACATTCCGAAATCACCTAATTAGCTCGCTAGCTTTTTCTTTTTTTCTCTTTACCTTCTAATACTCGTGAAGATTTTACTAATCTAGCCGTACCTTTTTTATGAGTAGAATGTGAAAGAAGAAAAGCTGCGCAAGTGGTAATGTCGCTATCATAGCCAAGATAGTGCACAATGCCTGTGAAAGTAAGAAACTACACTAAGCTTAACATTTTAAATCAAAGGGTGATTGTAATTAATGAATTTGTTTCGATCTACTAAATGCTAAAGTCGGCTAGAAGATGATTCAGCATCGAAAGGTGCCAGTTAAGTCGATTAATAAATAGAAACGTAACAATACTTACAACCACAATAACAAATGGAACCAAAGAGAAACTGCTTCCTAACTTCGCTGAAATATCCGCAGAAAACTGCTTCCGCTCAATGAAACAGCAGATCAGTACAAGGATTCCAGTTGACCATTGTAGAATAAGCTGCAATCTCAAGCCCAAGGTGGACAAACCAAGTATATACCTGTCAATTTCAATTAAAATGAAAATGACTAGAAAAGTAAAATTCTTACTCTGGGTTATCTTTGTCTCCGGCAACCGTGGAACCATGGGAGCACTCTCATGAAGTGATATGGCATAGGACTTAATATACATGAATTTGGATTTGATTGAAAGATTAAAGGACTCGATAATAGAATCCAAGTGTAAGGTACGAATCGACCAATGTAACATAGTTCATTGTATATTCAGAATGCTGATGACAAGAATACAAGCTGTTATCAAATAAGATGCCTAGTGTTACTGTTCTCCAAGATCAGGATTGGAGGTTTGTGTCTAAGGAAGAGATTGGCCAAATGGAAACCGGGATCGCAAATGAATATACAGTATTACTTGATGTGATGTGACAAATATCATCTGAACATGGAAGAGGTAGGTTGAGCATACCAATAGAAGAGCAGAAACCATGAGAGTGAAAAATTGTCTGTAGTTCCTTTTGCCTATGCAATTGTTTAGCCACTACAAAAATTGAGTGAATAAAATGAGTATCAGCATAATTTCTGATGAACCAGGTAAAGTATTCATCAAATGAAGATTCCGGATTACCCTGCAGTGATGATCAAAACGGTCGACACATTTGTCACAGACTCTGCAGTGCTTACTATATTTGAAAACCTGCCAAGTATAAAATACGATGTATTTACAACGTCAAAAAGGCTGGCAATAGCATTAATACTAATATCAACATAAGACTGGTGTAAATCCATGATGCAAGGAACCATTGTGTTTTAATTTGAACAAATAAAGCCAGGTTCATTCCAGGATATCCTTTTTCCACAATTCTTTTTGCCCACCAGGCAATTAATATGCAATTTCCTACTCATAAGCAATCTCGATATTAGGATCATTATGTAATAATCATCTCATAAAGGGAAGAACGAATCATAGAACTTTAAAGGAGCCAAATCTTCCCCACCTCAACTTCACACAAACTGCAATAAAACATCCCATCTTCACTCATCTGTTGCTCGGAAGATTCTTCATGTGAGCCGGTACATCTGCAGATAACAGCACAAGGAGAGAAAATCCATAGCAAACAAGATGATTGCTTCGGCAAACCATCATTTCCCTCGATTTCAACACTGGTATCTTTCAAGGTTTCATCTGCCACCACTGCATCCTTCTCCACAGTTTTTCCTCCAACTGAAGTATCATTATCATCACGAAAGGTTGTAGCTGAATCTACACCAAATTTAGAGTCCTTTGGTCCAGAATACTTCACATTCTCGGGAATTTTAAGATACTTTTTAGACTTGAACACCCCAGGATCTGCAGGATCCGATGCCGCACACCAAATATATAGGCCAAAGCAACAAGTAATCTAGAAAAGACATTGTTACTAATACTCCAGGGTGATAAAGACACATTAAGCACAACAAAAATGTTTAGAAAATGTGATGAGAATTATAAGTTACAGGCCTTAAATTATTGACTTTAGACAGTTTCCCTAAAAGATTTTGATAGCAACGGAACTCAAGAAACCGGATTCTAGTGGCAAAACAAAGAATTTTCTCCAGTGTTAAACCGACAAGGAAAGATGAAAAACTTAAGCAACATTCTGAAATTCAACACTGTCCTCAACAAGGAATTCAGGGCTTTGCCCCCCCCTTCCAGGAAGAGTAAACTGTTCTATAACTTCTTCCATTAAGGAATTCAGCACCAATAACTTAAAACTACTTTATCCTAGGAGGCTGAAATCCAAAGCGAAACAGGCATACCGGGAACTGTCGGCTCCCAATCCGAAGAAGAAATTTAAAATGTTTAGGCTTCAATCAAATCAAAGCGAGAAATTAACAATCTTTTAATGGACAAACTTTGAAATTCAAGTACAGAATCTAAGCCTGCTAAAAGACAAGAAACCGTGTGAGCTGAAGTGACAAGTTGATTGAAAAACATGACCCCAAGAAGAAAAGGAACGTCAGATTGGAGAAAAGCACCAGAGTGATAAATACAAACAGATGAATCAGAGATAAAGAAGAAAACAAAACATAGATCTCAGTGCTTTATCCCACTGAGAAAATTTTCTTAAAAATATGTAGAAAAAAAGGGGGAAATGTTTGAAATGGCTTACAAGAGGTGTATAGATTCCCATCACAATATATTGAAACATTTTCTTCCCAACAAAAGGAGCAAAGAACACATAGAAAGCAAATCCAAGTGCCAAGAACACAGCAACAGCCACCACCTTCACAAAGACAAGTTGAGAAAAAAGTGTGAACTTTGCTCAAAACCCAGAATTGAAACAACAAAATGCTCAGAACATTTTTCACATAAAAACAGAAACAGCGACGAGAAAAAGGAAAGAACCTGAAGTGGATGAGAAGGAAGCTGCCATCCATGCTTCCTCATTTCCTCTTAAAATGTTGCAGCCCCAGAAAAGGTAAAACTAAAACAGAAGAGATGAAGAGTATGAAACAAGAAAAACAAAAAATCTGGGCTTTTGCCTGAGCTTATTTTCTCACACTTTCCCTCATTTTCCAGGCAAAATAAAGATAAACCATTTCAATAGATCACCAACCAAACAAAAGCAGCATTACCCAATTTTTTTCACGGGTCTAGTCAGAAAACTAAAATGGAAGGAGTAAAAAAAATAAGAACAAGGACTTGATGAAGATAGGTATGGACAGCAAGGTAAAAAAAAACCGTGTAATTTCACTCAATCATAGCACTGCCTCATGCAAGGAAAGAGAGAGAAATGGAAAAGAAAACAAGGGCTAGTTTGGGTTTTGGGGTATTCTTTGTTTCATTTGTTAATTATTTTACTTGGCTAAAGATCTGTGTATTCCCAAACCCACAAATGTAAACTGAAACAGAGAGTGAATATGGTTTATCTTTTCTTTGCCTATAAATTACCCTTCCAAGTCCAACTCAACTTTTACATTTTTTTAAAGAAATATTATTCATTTTTTCTGCCATTACCTTTTCACTACTGCAAATCATGTGTCACAAGCCCAATGGAACAGACATTTGTTTTTGTCACTGCCTTCACCAACCATTGTTCCTCAAATTTGGTCCCCCGGGGATTCAATTCAACATGACTCAACCAACCATTAACCCCCATTAAATTCTTCCACTTTTAAGATTTAAAATAAAAAAACCGAGCTTTACGAACTACATCCAAGATCAACACTAAGAAAAGGAAAGGTTCACCAACAAAAATCCCACAAACGAGGTTTGCCGATGTAAATTAAACGTGTTATGGATTCTTTCTTCCTTTGGTGGTAACAGAAAAAAGATGACCCACTCAATGTGTTTTTTTATGTTGACTGGAAAGGAGTATTCTTCTGTAGAAAGGAATTTGACACAATGAGTGAAAAGTAAAGATAAAAACCGGTAGGGAACCCCCAACATTTCATTAATTGCCCATGAAAGCTCATGCACCTATCTTTACCTCATGGCATTAAATGTATTTCCATTAAAAATAAATAAATATTTTTCCAATCAGTTGTTTGAAGCCATGTGTTTCAAGCACACTAGTTGATGAAATTTGAAATTAATACTTTGGGTTACGGGCAAAGGGGCAGGAGAGTGACGTAACAGGGAAGAGAGGTGAAAAGGAGGAGAAAACTGGAATTGGCATTTTATTGTCAGAAATGAGATACTGTGACCACTTGTCTTTGTAAATGCATAAATGAAGAAGAAAACAAACAAAGGCAGCTCAGCTGGGCAGCCTGTAGACAAGAAGAGCAATAAAACACAGACATCAAGAAGCGAAAACGGCATTTTGGTAATAAACTAAAAGGGGGTGTCAGAATGTTGGTATAAGAACTTTTGAAAACGTAAAACACTAAATTAATATACACATATGGAATGGAAAGTTGGGTTAATTTTAATATTAAACTAAATGTTTGGTTTTTTGACTTGTAACAAGAACATAAGAGAGCTTACAAACAGAGGAGACGAGAAGCACAAGGGTTGATAATAATTGATTCACTAAATTTAAATATATGCTGTATAGGACGAGGTAGGGCACGACTTACCACTTAAAAGAGATGTTGACACTCCTTTTCCAATATATTCTTTCCACACTTTTACAAATATAACATTATTAATGTTTTAATTCATGTATTTAATATTATATTTGTGTTCGGGTTTAAGGTTTAATCGAGTTAAGTTTAAGATTTTTTTTATTTCGAACTTTTGCGAGCTTCAATTAAAAATTTCGAGTTCGAGTCGAACTTCAAAATTTTAAGCTTGTAAATTTTTGAATCGAGTCGAGTATAATCATACTCAAACTCCATTCGACTCGTTTACAGCCCTACTTGCATTCATCTAGATAAATAAAAAATAACTAATTTTAAAATAGTAGTTAATTAAGTCAAAATGAATTTATGTTATTGAAAGAGGGGGAAAACCCGTGAGTGAGCATGGTGTGTTTGAAAGACACGTGACCGATATTTAACAGTACCTGTGACGGACCAACGATCAAACCGCCTCCTCTATTGTTTTCCATAGCTATATTAGCTCTAACGTGATAATATCCGAAGTAATTATTCGATACCTATCCATATATAAAATTATCAATGGAGGTTTATAATATAATAATAAAATATTTCTTTATTTTATATAATAAGTTTTCATTTCAAGTTTAATCACAAGCAAACCTTTTTAATTATAGGGTAAATTACACCATTTCTACTTAACTTTACTCTTTCTCATGTTTTGCTCATCTTATTTGTTAACTTTTTTATTTTATTCACTGAAATTTAAATATTGAATAATTTTGTTCACTCTGTCGTTAACTTTTAAACGGTGCTATGACATGACATAAGCATCAAAATGACGTCGTTTTGAAAAATTTAAATATACACCAAAACGACATTGTTTTGAATCCTCTTCTTTCCCCCATTGCCGCAACCGACCACCACGTCATTTTTCATCCCGGCCACTGTCGATTGTCGTTGATGGTGGTCGTTCAGTTCCAAAATTCGTAGGTCGGTTCGTCTCGACCCCCTAAGTCTGAATCTGGTGGTTGTTTCACCAGAAAATATCCTAAAATACGTGAATCTCAACTGAAATGTTTCAACTTCTTTACTTTCAATCTCCGATTCGTAGACTTCGAAACAAGTTCCGACAAAATGGAAGTCGAATTCAGAGTCAAGATGTCAAGGCGATGCGACCCATGAAATTTGGGACCGGACGACCACAATCTACGGCGGTGGCATTCGACTAATTTATGTTTTTAATTTATAGTTGGGTGAGCAAAATAAGAGAGAGAGAGTAAAGTTAAATGAGGAAAGATATAATTTATCTTTTATATTTTCAATTATTTTATATTAAATAATAACAAAAAATAACACATCATTATAGTGTTAGAAAGTTGACGACAAAGTGAGTAAACTGATTCAATTTATTAAGTTGAATGAGTAAAATAGAAAAATTAAAAGTACGATAAATAAAATAAAATATAATGTAAAATCAGTCAACAAAAAAATTAGTTGACCCTTATTCTCATATGTAATGGTAAGGGGGAGGTAGTATAGTAGGTTGCCCCCAACACCAAGTTAAGAGCAGCTTCCGTGGAGACTCCGAATTATGAATTGCCCACCGTAGGACTTAATCCCACGACCTAAAGATTAATAGTTTTGTGTTCTACCAACTGATCTGGACAGAAAGTAAAATAGAAAATAATTATATTAAATTGTTTTATCTTGTATGTATTTGCATATATTGTTGAAGATGTGATGGGGGTGGACCCAAATCCATAATAGGGGAATCAAAGCGGGGGCTTTCCAGCCGAAAGCGATTAGGGTCAAAATGATTATAAGAGCAATCAAATATGTGGGTTGCTTCATTTCTGGGCAAAGACAAACAACAAATTTTATTAATGTCATTTATCAATTGCTTTGCTTTTCTTTTCGTCTCACCCCACCAATCACTGGGATCTTTTTTTCCAATTACTTGGATTTGAAAAACAGATTCCCATGGTGTAACACAATAATGTGTGTATATATGTACGTAGAATTTTGATTTCTAAGCAATTACCAATGCAAGATTTTATGTTGATGGACGAACTTAAATTTTAAATTTCAAGGGATGAATTAAATTTAGGGGGCAAAACAGATTTTTAATAAGAAATACATAGAAAAAATTTAAAATATATGATAATTTTAAATTTTCAAGGGACGACTGCCCCATCAACCCCGGTCATCCCTGTTTCTAAGCAACCTACCATACTTGAATTGATGGCAAGCCTATAAGATGCAAATTTTGGGGCTAAATTGCAATTCAAAGTTGCAATCCATTATTCCAGGTTAAATATATAATGTCTTAAACCCTTCATAAAAAACCAGACACAGAGAGAGAGAGAGAGAAGTTTGAAAAAGAAAAGTCAATATTATTGTCCAATATCCAAAAAGCAACAAAACATGCAACCCGTATTTGTATAACAAGGAGAGGGTGTCTGTCTTTCATTATCAACTTTAGATGAACATGTGAGAAGAGAAGCATTTATTAATGAAACCTTATTAGTTACGAATTCAATCTAATCTTCATACTTGACAAATCTTTTTCCAATATATATATAAGCACATATACGATAGGGGATTCAGTTACATTATTACAACTCTTTAATTTTACATTGATTTTGGATCATTGAATGATGTAGATCAATGTTGAAATTAAAAATTGAAACCGAGAAATTGTTACAGGTAAGAAAAAAAAAGGAGAGGTGAAATGCACAAAGTTGTAGTCACAGCCATTGCAAAAAAAAAGGAGAGGTGAAATGCACAAAGTTGTAGTCACAGCCATTGCTTTATATTCACCCAATGATTTAAAATCAGTGTACAAATTAAAGAGTTCTACACTATATAAGTGAATTCTAATCCTATATATATTCACATGCACACTAAACTAGTTTACATACAACGTTGTAACCTAGTCAATCTATAACTGACATTCACATCCATCCAACAATCTAAAACCAGTATAAAACTAAAGAATTTTATACAATGTAAGTAGATCCTAACCATATATATATATATATATATATGCGTGTGCACCCACTAAACTAGTTTACATACAACGTTGTAACCTAATGCAGTCTACAACTGACCTTTCTTTCTTATGTTTTCACCTGTTCTTTTGAACATCACATACCAGTTGGGCTTGGTTTGACAATCGCCCCCATAAAAGACACTCGCATCAGTGAATTTACCTTAGCAGCAGTTCAGAGAAATTATGTTACATTCTCTTCTTTTAGCCGTAAATGTTGTTGCCCATTGTTTGTAAAATAAGCACTGATATTTACACCATGGTTGTGGGTTGCTATATTCTGTGTTCTTCCTTGTGATACGTTATTAGCGTTGGCCATGTTGTGGCTACGAGTCTTGGCTGCTGGTACATTGTGAGTATGTTTTCCCTCGTATGTCGTATAACATACTTGGGATCGTTTGAAGCCCTCTCGACGTGCTTACGGACATTGCATCCCAGTGTTGTACATTTATAGTAGCTTCTGTGGAACCATAAAGGTGCATTAGGGAGTGTTCCAAATAATCAAACACAATAAAAGAGCAGAACACAACAGAAAATCCAACATTCAAGTGTCTTTCTTCACAACGATTCAAACGAAAAGGTAAGGTTTGATCCAAGTGCTAACCCCGGGGTTATGGATAAACGATTACCTTGGATAAGGATTGCCTTTGACAACTTTCTGTCCGTACTTGCGCCACCTATAGCCATCATCCAATAGGTCAACTTCGCTTCTTGTCTGCAAAATAATTCTAGGTTCATTGACAGTTCTATGTGAAGATGGCCCCAAAACTTTAATTTCAGTATTTATGCATATAAAGAAACAAGTTTTGTCGGATAGGGAATTCATCACTGGTTCAATAGAGCATATAAAATGAATATAGAAATTTTGCATACTGT